GGCGGGGGAGCGCGAGCCGCCCCCGCCCGGGCCGGAACACATGCCCGGCGGCGCCCGCGCCTCCATTTCCCAGGGGCCCCGGCTTTGTTTGCGGACTTGTGTTGGGGCTGACGTAGCTGCATGGTTTATCGGGACAGCCAATCCCCAGGCACGCTGTGTTAGTACCTGGCCATATAAGGTAAACAAATCTGGAGCCCCAATGAGCGCGAGGGGGAGGTGCTACGGGGCGCTGCCAGCGCGGGGCGGGGCTCGCGCTGTTTACAACCGGCGCGTGCAGTTTCTTGTTGGTGAGCTGGGGGAGGCGGGGGCTGTCCGGCCTTGTCCGATGTGGTCGGAGCAGCGGTGCTCGGTGTCCGGATGCTGTCGCCCCGTAGCACCGCTCTTGTCCGTCCAAGCGCTGCCCCACCAGGCGCTGTTGCGTGGTTTGGAGCTCCCGTACAAATCTCGAGGGCAGCATTGACATGTCCCACGCGCTGGAGCAGGGAGCACCACGTTGCGCTGACACTTGCCTCGAGTCGGATCTCCTTGTTGATAAGAAGCCTCACACAAAGCCGTCACCTAGGCGTGTGGTCGCAGGGTGCAAGACCGGGCTGTGCACGACGCACTTTGGCCTTCCCTACGATTATATTGTCACATGAATATCCGCGGGGGCAATCGATACATTGTTTTGGTTAGACTCTGGGTGATGTTTAACTAGGAGGGTGCTAAAGCAGCGCATGCATTACTCTGAGCAGCTGTGTTATCCATTAAGAGGATGCGGACCTCTGTGTACATGGACCTTTACATGTAGGTACACATATAACAATTGTGTATCTTCTGTTTTCACTGATACAGGAATGCAGGTCCTCTTGTAAACAGATTCTACTTCAGTGATCTGAAACAAAACACCTTTGAACTTCTGGCCAAACCCTGCTTTGATCTCCATTCCACGTATGTGCTTCAAAAGCCCAGATACTGCCTAAATACTGTGAAGTTTGAGATCTAAGCAGTTCTGTATTTCTGCTGTGTTCTGTGCTGTCCTGAGCAATGGTTGGAACAGTGGGCACAGACTTATTTTTGCTAAGGGGGCCTAAGATGGACATGTGGAAAAGTTCCATGCATTTTAGGTGACAGCCCTTTTCCTGAGGGGGGTCAAGACCCTCAGGCCCCCAGGTACTTGGCACTTCTGGTTCATGGATTCATAGACATTAGGGTCAGAAGGGACCTCAGTAGGTCATGGAGTCCAACCTCCTATCCTGGGCAGGAAGGAGTGCTGGGGTCAGATGACTCCAGCTACGTGCTTGTCCAGTCTCCTCTTAAAGACCCCCAAATGTAGGGGAGAGCACCACCTCCCTTGGAAGCCCATTCCAGATTCTGGCAACCCTTACTGTAAAGAAGTTCTAATGGTTGGAACAGAACCAATCAAGAAGGAATTAATACTGGATGATCAGGGTTGAACTAACCTGAGACTCCTTCCAACTCCCAGACTTTGGCATATTTGAGATTTAGATCCAGATTATAACTTTTGCTTCCACCTAAACCAGACAGGACTAAGACTGTACTAGGCAGGGGGGGGGGGGGGGGGGGAGGGAATCCTAGGGTTGCTGTGCTCTCCCCTAGCACCCCCTACCATGCCAAGTTTGCATTAACGCATCTTCATTCTTGCCCGCCACGTCTTGATCTTATAGAAGTTAAAGGGAGGTTGCCTCGTCCTCCTGGTCATGGTTCCTGCTACCCCGATCCTTG